TGCAGAGTGTTGGAGGGAAGTCGAACTTCCCTGGAGGGAGTTTGTGGATCAAATCTTCGAACCATACTATGTCAAAGGCTTTCTTAATAACAATACTTACTACCACAGTGAGGCGCTTATTGTAAAGGCCAACGCATACCTCGCTTTGGAGATGTTGAAGAGTGTAAAGATTTGGCTTCTAAAGCCACTCTGGCACGAGAGGAGAATGTCGTTCTCCGAGGAGAAGGCCTTCAGTTTGTCGGCTATGAATATCTCATAAAGCTTGCTGATAGAGTTTAGGAGGGAGATGGGGCGTTAGCTGCCAGGTTATAGCTTTGGATTTGCCAGACTTGGCAATGGGGCAGACAATGGCCTTCTTTCATGGTTGGGGAAAGAAGCCGGTATTGTACGTATGTTTGAAAAGCATGGCAAACTTTTGAAGCCTCCGAGTGAGTTTGTGATTCGATAATATTTTTAATTAAGAGAAATTACTTCTTATGAGAATTGAAATTAATTTTGAGTAAAAATCAATTAACAAATTTAATAAAACATGAGATATTAATACAAAATTATACTAAAAACTTTTTATTATATTAAAATACTTTTTATTATATTTTATAATTTTTTTTTGTTTTAATAAATTGTGCTTATTTGGTATTAATTAATTTTAATAATTATATTCAATTATATTTTATTATATCATATCTTAATTTTGCATATTTTTTTTTTATGTAAAATTATTTTTTTACATTTATTTTCTTAATCATTTATCAATCATGATACTTATTTATTCCATTTAAAATTCGTACTATACTATACATTTTACTGTAACCTAAATAAAAAATTGAACCTAATCAAATTGACAATACAGCACAAAAAGGATCACTAAAATCGTACAATTTTGTAAAAAAATAAAAAAAAAAATTATATTAAAAAAAAAATATATTGATATTACTAAAACCAACAATTTTAATAAATAACATAACTTGTAGATACATGTAACTATAATTGTATAAACTGGAATAGTGATTTAATTGTATGCTAAGTTACAGTTACAGTTAATTCGCCTAAAACATGTATGGTAAGTTACCTCAGAAGTGAAATATTTATATATCTGCATATATTCCTGAGTACACATAATATTTCATAAATGTAATGTTAAACCTAATACTGAAAAAAGATACTAGATACTCTTCTGTCTGTGGCGCTGGCTCCACATGTTGATTTTTATTCAGGCAATTTAGAAATGCGTAACTAAAAGTGAGAGTGGTCGAAGCCAATCTACACAAGCTCTCACTATTGTGCTCGTATCTCACTTCGGCACTGATTTGAGAGAAATTGCAATGAAAATTGCAAATTTATTTAAAAAAGTATCTAACATGGGCACACAGATGTACGTGTAGTACCACAGCTTTATGGCGAGCAGTGATTATGGCGATTCGTAGACTAAGTCGAGATCAGAGAACCGATTAAACTATAAAAGTGCACCGCACTTTGGCGCACTTTTACAGTTTATCGCGGACGTTCATTTTGGATTTGTGTAATTTTTAAACGGTGCGGAAATTAGAGAAAAAAGAAGAAAATATTCATAAAATTGAAAAGTTTTTAAATAAATCAAACTTAATGTCTTTTATGAATTATTTTTGCGAATAACAAGGAAAACTTCATCAGTTTTCAATTTACTAGTATTTGACGTGTACTTAGACAACAAAAGTGTGTTAATTAAAATAAATTAAAATGACTTTGGAAGTATTAAAAGATCCAGCACTCATTTCCGCTAGCAGCATTTTTTATTTTTTATTGCTGCCCACCATTACACTGTGGTTCATTTATTGGCGTTTATCTAGAAGCCATTTATATGGGCTAGCCGCAAAGCTTCCTGGTCCGAAAGGATTACCAATTGTCGGACATTTATTCGATTACGTGGGGCCCGCATCGTGTAGGTGCTAATTATGCTTAGTTGTTCATGTGTGTGAAAAAAAAATAAAAAATTAAAAAAATAAAAAATAAATAAAATTATTATAAAATAATTTACTAAAAAAGAATTTTATTTTATTAAAAAATAAAATTTTAATTAATCAATAAATTATGTAGTTATAAAAGTGTTTAGTGTTGTGTAACAAACGAAAAATAATTTTTATAATATAAAAAAACTTAATAAGCAAAATAATTTTTAAATTAATGATTTAAAAATAAATAATATTAAATTTAATAATAATATTTTGTTATTTAAATTTTTCAAACATTTTTTTCATTTTTTTCACTTTGTATTAATTTATTTTATTTATTTATTTTTTTTTTTTTGCTCACGATAAGCTTTTGAGGTTTGGTATTTGTGTTCCATTTTATAGAATTCCACACATTAAAATAAAATTCATAATTTAGTAAATTATAATTTCACATTTACTCTCTATTAAGCTGTTTTCAAAACTGTCATACGGAAAACTGCAGAATTTGAACATGTCGCTAAAATGTGGATTGGACCCAAACTGGTGGTATTTATTTATGATCCCAGAGATGTCGAAGTTCTGCTCAGCAGTCAAGTATATATCGACAAAGCATCGGAATACAAATTTTTTAAACCCTGGTTGGGTGATGGTTTACTAATCAGTACAGGTAAACAAAAATATATATATTTGTTTTTTTTATATATTATTGATAAAAATATTGGATATGGCATTAACTGTATATAGAAGTACAATTGACAAGTTCATATACTCACAAAAATAAGTGAGCTCAAAAACAAGTAGAAGTGCATATTTGTCAGTTTCTAACTATTAGCCATTATATGTACACTTTTTGTGCAGAAAGTATCTAAAGCTATTAAATAAAACAGCAAAAAATTTAACAATCAGTCTAAATAAATTACAAAGTAGGTTTTACCGAGTATAATAAAACTGCGATAGTGCTTGAAGTAATTCCTTATACATATTTCGTAGGCTGATTGAGATATGATTTCTAAATTTTTTAAGCACTTTTTCTTTTATGGCCGCAAGGGATTCAAAACATGTTTTCCGAAATAACTTCGTGAATAAAAAAATCGCATGTGATCATTTCAGGTGATTGCCAAAAACTATTACACAGTAAAGCCATATAAACACAGAGTCTGGATTCAAATTACTTTGATCTGAAAAAATGTTCAAATAATATTTTGTGGCTCTGTCTCAGAAAGAAGCTTTAAGCGGTCTTTATATTTGCAAAAATATCTTCTATAAAAACCATATGGATGTTTAACGCTATGTGGTATCACTAAGGCCAATAGGTCCATGCGTGGCTTACAGCCAGCTAGATTAAACTAACCTTATCTTTTTTTTAAAGTGGAGTTGTCAGTACTATATTTGTTTTAGCTCTCACTTTAGCTCTCTCTCTCATTTAGCTTTTATAAATTAATAGCGTGTAATTAAGTTATATTCTTTTATTAGTTACTAAGTCACTAAATTTATATTTGTTATATATTTATTAAATATATAAAAAATATCATATCATTAATTTTAAAATATAATGTTTTGTATTAACGTATATGAGTTGTTTATTTGATACTTGGATTTTGTATGCATATAACACATAGTCTTCAAAATATATTATTTTATTATTCACTCACTGAACATTTATGAATTTATAAAAAAAATATTTTATTTATTTTAAAATAATTATTTTTTATTTATTAAATTTTTAAAAAATTTACTCTAATCTAATTCATTAATTTTAAAATATAATGTTTTGTATTAATATATATGAGTTATTTATTTGATATTCGAATTTTATAAACATATAAATTTAAAAATATATTATTTTATTATTCACTCACATTTATAACTGAATTTTATTTATATTGAGTGAATTTATACAAAATGAATATTTTATTTAACTTAAAATAATTATTTTTTATTAATTAAATTTTTAAAAAATAGTATTGCATTTAATAGTAATTTTAAAATAAAATGTTTTGTATTAATATATATGAAATATTTATTTGACATTTGGATTTTATAAACATATAATTTTAAAAATATATTATTTTATTATACACTCACTTAATATTTATATTTAAATTTTATTTATATTGTCTGAATATTTATAAAAAAGAATATTTTTTTTATTTTAAAATAATTATTTTTTATTTATTAATAATTATTTAATATGTTAATTTGCAAATTGTGCCACAAGTTCAATATCCTAAAGTCTTTTGTCTAGACAACGACTAAGTAATCTAATGATATAAATTTAAATATTTTATTATTATAATGGCGCTTTCATGCCGCAAGAAAAATAAATTTCACTGATTTAATATATGTTTTAAAATAAATTTTTTTTTTTCATAAAAAAAGCACAACAAAATGAAATAATTTAATTTAAGCAATCAATGCTCGCCCCAGTAACCGCCAAATCGCATGACACACATTTTCCGGGTGTTCCTCTGCCTCCAAAGAAATCATTCAACAACTAAACACAGAAATAGCATTTGAAAAGCATTTAAAATTATAACAAAAAATACAAAAAATACAAGAAAACAAGAAAACACAAAAAAGTATTAAATTATTAAATAAATTTAAATTTAAGCAATTAGTAGAGCATTTGTCCAAAGTGACACTCGACATCATAAATACGTTCTGCGAGATATTTATACGGGTATTCATATGGAGCGCTATATGAGCAATGATAGATATGAAAAAGCGTCAATCCGCACTATCGTGTGTTTTTTCTAGTTTCCTTGTACAAAACTGCACATTCAGAACATTTAGAAGTTTTTTTTCTTATCAGGTAGGTGGCTGAAGACTGTGAAGACTGTGAAGATTGTGCAAATTCTTAATAATAGAAAAATAACAACAGCAAAATTACTTTTATAGAGCGTGGAAATTTTGTATCTACTTATGCGTTCATTTAGCAATTAAAATTTTTTGCATAAATATAAATTAAGATTAAGAATAAAGACTCAAAAATTATATGTACGACTGAAAGATTTTATAACACAACAAATAATATATATTTTTTTTTTGTGTTGAGGGGGTGGAATGCTTTATGCACCGTTAAACCGATCGTCGACGGAATGGTGTGCCCGACTCCCTAACATTAGTATCTAGTATACGGACTAAAACACCTCCTCTTCGGCGAGAATTATTCCCTCTCGGACCTGTTTTCGCCTTTCTTCGAGGAGGGTCTTTTTTATGTTGGCATTACAAGCCATACTCTTATGATTTACGATCTGCGTCCAGACCTACACTTTTTCACCGCATTTTCTTAATGTCTGCACTATTTATTATGTCTAAGTCAAATTTCTTCGATTTGAGGACTTGAATCACATATGACTCTATCATTCGCTAACTCTCGGGGTTCATTCTCATCTTTTACACTATATTTCCGGGACTTATAGGTTCAATCTGTGCTATTATATTTTCTCTATTTCATATATAATAATACATATAATAATTATAAATACAGTCAATAAACATAAACAAAATATATATAAAAAAAATGTACAACGCAGTAGAGAGACTTTATTGGGTCCTTATATACGAGTACAATCAATAGAAGACGATAGTAGATACAAATAAAAAATATTATATTTTTATCAAAACAACGTTGCTCCCTTTTCGATATGAAAATAATGTTTAAGTTGCATGGTGCAAACCAATAAATTCACAATAAAGACATATAGTTTTAATTGCTCAACGCCTATAAGCATGCTTTGTTTTAATGATTACTGCATAAGCACCGTTAATTGCAGTTAGAGTCATAGTTAACTTTGTGAAACCACAATTAAGCAATTGCCAGCATTCACTGTTGGATACTTTTGATTTACTAAACTTTACCATTTGATATGCTCTTTTTTCGTAGGCTCGAAATGGCGTTCCCATCGCAAATTGATTGCACCCACATTCCATCTGAATGTCTTGAAGAGTTTCATTGATTTATTTAATGAGAACTCACGCAATGTTGTGCGTAAACTGCAAGCCGAGGGTGGCAAAACGTTTGACTGTCATGATTACATGAGCGAAGCAACTGTGGAGATTCTCCTCGGTAAGTACAAGGAAAATATTGTTTAAGTGCGAAATAAAAAGGTCAATTGAATTCTTACATCAAACAACTTAATTAAATTTTTTAGCTAACTAAAGAAATATCGTATAAATTTATTTTCCTTGCTAGAAAATTAAGTATTAAATTACAAAAATATAAATACTAATATTCAGAAGTTCTATAAAATACTCATTTAAAGTAATATTTAAGCTTAAGATAGTTTTCTTGGTCATACTAACATATATATAGTTGCAGTACCTGAACCTACCTAAATATACCTTAATAGTGGCTAAAGTATTAAAAATAGAATTAACATACTAAAGTATTTAAATACCTGCAGTACCACGATACTAATATTCAGAGAGTCTATAAAATACTCATTTAAAGTAATATTTAAGCTTAAGATAGTTTTCTTGATCATACTAACATATATAACATATCATATTTTTTACATTATGGCTGGTGATATTGGTTAATTGCAGTATTTGATAGATAGACATCCTACCGCCTCATATATTTAGCAATTACTTGCAATTTGGATATAACATACCTTCCAAAAATAGCATGTTGATAAACAATATAATCCTTTTTAGTTTATTTAGTTTAACAGATCTCTTGGTTTTACTGATAAGCAGTCTGACAAACTGTCAAGAAAGTACTGCCCCAAAAATCTCTTCCTTCTGTTAGCCACATCTAGCCAATCATAGAGAAAGTATGTCATTTCGTCGTCCTAGTTTCTGCAACTTCTACAATAAGTATTGAACGGAAGCGCAAATATACATATAACATATGTGAAGTATTTAAACTTGGTTTGATTCTTAAATAAACTAAAGAAGAGTTCTTCATTTCTTTCTTAACATGAAAACATATGGTGAACAAACCAGTGTAACTTCAAATATTTCTCTTCATCGCACTCTATTCATCGACACTTTTTACTAATGATATATTGCCATTGCTCTCATATCAAGTGCCATGTCTATTGTAAATAGTCATAGATATTTCTAAAGTTCTTGAGTTCCAGCACTTTCTTAAAAATAAATTTCACATTTATAGTTAAAAGTGGCTTTCATTAAGGTTTCATATAGGCATTTCTTTGCTTATGTTATGTGGTTTCAAAGTTCAGATAGTTCAGTAAATTATATCAGCTATCTGTGTTTCTCTAAAGTATAAACTTGTTACCGATATGTGTTCTGTGGTGTTTATATTGTTTATTTACTATATTTTTAGTTCTAGATATAAATTAGTTAAGCTCGGAAATCAAAATCATGTAACTCTTAATAAATATATATTATTATGACATTATCATTTTAAGTATAAATGTTACTCACTTTGTTACTTATAGAAATGTCATCGATCAATATCTGTATTCTCTATTCGCATTAAATACACCCATCTAACATTTTAGAAAAAATGTAGGATTTTTCAAATAATTCATACTATGGCTATGGCAGTCATTTCTACCAATTTATAGCGTCAACGAAAGCAGAAGTGGTAGTCATACTCTTTACAGCTCACACATATTAATATATATATAGTATATAGCGTCTAATCGTGCTGGAGACTTATTTATCGCACTTCTTTGGATGGCGCCCGAAGTATGTAAGACCCTCTTGTCCCTGTTCACTACTCTACTATACAAATTAATTAATTTGGTACTATAACATGTATTAACGACTATATTTTATTATCGCCACCTTGAGACTAATTGAAGTTCAATTCTGGAGACTTATTTATCGCACTTCTTTGGATGGTGCCCGAAGTATGTAAGACCCTCTTGTCCCTGCTCACTACACTACTATACAAATAAATTACTTTGTTACTATAACATGTATTAACGACTATATTTTATTATTGCCACCTTGAGACTAATTGAAGTTCAATTCTGGAGACTTATTTATCGCACTTCTTTGGATGGGGCCCGAAGTATGTAAGACCCTCTTGTCCCTGCTCACTACTCTATATAAATATACTCTATAATATATAAATAAATTAATTTGGTACTATAACATATATTAACGACCATATTTTATTATCGCCACCTTGAGACTAATTGAAGTTCAATTCGCAATTCATAGAAACGTCCCCGACCATTACGTGTATATTTATAAATTCTTAAACCTCTTGCGAATTGTTGGTATTGTTGTTGTTGTTGTTGTTGTTGTATTTGTCACTAAATTTGGTTCATTACTAAATTTTGTATTTTTAGTTGCAAATAACTTTTTTTTCAAATAACTTTGAAACTTTGCCAGTATTTTTTAACCCACCTATTACGACCGATTCCACTTATGAGATGCATAACCAATGAGTTGCATATTAATTAAAACTTTTTAGAAAATGCATTTCAAACAAAATTTAACTTTCGAGCATTTATTGAAGCATGAGTTATTATAATGCAAATCTAATTTCAATTTCTTTTACTTTAAGTTACGTATTGTCAATTTTCATTAATATTCAAAGAGATATATTTTCCATTGCGAAAACACAATGAACCGCACTAAAAATTGCATAATTTTCATAAAAAACAACAAAATATCTTGTCACTGCTTTTCTTCATAAATTTTCAACTTCAGATTTTCCTACTCACCGCAGTTGCAAGTTTTCTTCTCATTTTCATGAAAACGAAGCATGTTGGGCTGCGATCAAACTTTTCACTCTTAAAAACTCGTTGCTATAAAAACTTTGTTGGGTAAGTGGGTAAGTGGCACTTGTGGAAAAGTCGGACGAAGAAAATAAAACAAGTTTCAACTGACCGATTACGTGTTACATAACTCATAGTTACTATTTTTCCTCACATGAGATTGTATCGGTTTTTTTAACTAACCTCAAGTCGTCTCGCACATTGATATATATGAGCACTTCATTTAAATAATTATAAACCTATAAATCTAAGTCTCAATTAGGAGCCAGTTTTATTATCCTCACAATACTCGTAAAAGCAAAAGCATTTAAGTTTTATTGTATTTGCATGGAGTTCCAAGTGACTACATTAACTGATACATCACATGATAGCAATTCAAACAACATATTCCATACGTCTTTTAAGATTAAGAGATTATTCAGTCCAAACTCTTTTGAGCCGGCACTCATCAGCCAAGTTTTGGAATCTACCCAGATCTTCTAAAAAATGGTTTTAAAAAACCTTGAAGTATAGATGTTTAGCTGCTATATCCATAAGGAGAATTTTCAGTTTAAAGCTACTGCTGTGATCTTTATAAGTACAGACAGTACGAACTATTCCTTTTATTTTTTATTTATTCAATTACTCTGACCTTCAAATTATAAATCGCCCTTTTGTGTTTCTTTCATTATCTTTATTAAAAGATATTTAAACTTTCTGTAGATTGGATCTTCTTGTCAATATTTCTACAATACCAGAGATTTTCAAGTATAGAGAGTAGGAACTCTTATCTTATTATACTCTTGTCATACGTATGATTTATTCAGTTATTATGATCTTTATGGATCATTATACTTTTTTCATCATTTTTATTATTAGACACTTCAACACGGTGGATCAGGGCTCCTTTAACAATATCACAGTCTATGGTTTTGATTCTTAATTCTTCTTGAGTCTACTTCTATTGCTACCAGGAATGGATTTCGCCATCTTCATCTTAACTCCAGGCAATTAGTTTGCCTCTACAGAATTCGCTAAGTGTACTACTCGTATTATCAGGTTTTTAAATAGCGAAGCCAAGTCATCTCATTCATTATGCTAAGACAAAGCAAAGATAGTCTAATTGTTTGATAGCTGCTTTAGTTCATACTACAGTTCATACCGACAATTCTGATAACTATAGCCACATAAATACTATTATGTTATTATGTCACAGTTATCAGCGAACTATTGCCAGCTGTATGCCAACAAATTACTTCAAAATGGTTGAGTACTGTAAGACATCCCATCAGTAGAAACACCGATATGCGAACCATTTAGAATCATATAGGGAATCACCAATATGGTGACTAACGATTTATGGACTAACCACGAAGACTGTAAGATCGCTAGAACCTTATGGCCTAGTTTAACAAAAATAAAACGAAAAGCCTTTTGGGCTTCAGCAAACCTGCAGTTCGTATACTTATTGAGTACTAACAGGGCATTGTGTCATTGCGCCTATGCTCTAATGGTGGCGAGTTTCAACAAGTAGATTATGCAAAAGTTGCCAAGACGAGGAGGAGGTACAATCCATCAACCACTTCCTGTGTCTCTATCCATTATCATTTTTTCACAGGTCTGGAAGAGACAACGAAAGTAAACTTATCGGATCAACTTAACATCTTTTGGAAAACCAAATGGTTTAATAAGGATAGAAGATAACAAAGGTTAGCAACTCGCCGCTCCCGGCATAATCTTTGAGGGCATCACATTGGGCAATATATGCCACCGATTGAAAGTGCTGATAACTGTCAGTACGCGTCTAACCTAACCAAATCAAAGACATCTCATGGGGAACATTTGAAAGATGTACAACATACCAAATATGGTAGCAAGGTCCAATGTATTATATTGAGAAAAACTTTCAGTCGAAGTTCCCAATACCTTATATGCAGATTAACTTTCGATACCACAAAATGTATAATAACGACTGCCGATAGCATAATATCTTTTTTGTCATAATATTTCTTTTAAGTATAACCATTTCTTGTGTATAATTTTTTTTCTGAATTTTTCTTAACTTAATTACCTTTGCACGGCAGCACTTAATTGTCATCATACATGTTGTCTTAGGTTTCCTACAGCGAACTCTTAATGTATGTCTTACGTATTAAGCCGGTCTTGTGATGCAAAACAGGAATTGTTTCGCATTTATTTAATGTTTTTATGTCTAATAAATATTTTATGGCAAATAAATTTTACTTTATCCAAAATATCTTTTAATAGTTTAATCGTAATAACTCACATTAATTGAATTTAATTATTCAAATTGGTTTTTAATAATCACCTCGAAGCGTATATATATATGTATATATATGAGTATATTAGTTCGAAACTATGTTTAGAGTCGTAAGCGATGTCGGTATATTTGAAAACTGGAAAACATTTGTACAGTATCTATGCACATCTATGCAGTTATCTTATATTTCTATTTCAAATAGATTCCTTCAATACAAAAATCCATAATTTGTCTCTCATAAGAATTACTGATAGTTTGTTGAAATTATATAGAACCGATTTCACAGCCAATGTAGATATTGGAACAAGTCTACTAGTAAATATTATGTATCGCTGCAGTTGCCTAACATTTCTATTTTCAATAGATTATCTAAACTCTAGAACCAATAGACAATCTCTTGTAAGAGTCACTGACAGTTTTTAATAGCTATGGAGAAGCAATGAATAAACTCCGATGAGAAGCTAAAGATAAGCGATACTGATAGTTCTGAAGCCACTCTTTTCTTGATTTTAAGAGTACAGGTGCGAATTCAAAACGAAACGACACTAAATGGTACACAATGCTAAAAACTGTGAATATTGGAAATATCTATTAATAGATGCTAAACATTTCTATAGTTCTTTAAAACTTCTGTTTACAATAGATAGCCCAATCAATTGTCAGTTTCTTGTAAGAGCCACTGATAGTTTTAACTAACCTTCAATATTTACTTTGTATTCGAGACGAAAGGAACAAAAACAAAACGAAAGCGAATGGGCAATAATGCTAGAACGTGTGCATATAGAAAGAGATCTACCAGTACACATTACATACATCTACAATTATCTAACATTTCTGTTTTTAATAGACTGCCCAAATAACCAGATTGTATTCATGAAGGAGCGGTCTCAGTACACCTTACAGATTCTTCAATCTACAAATATTTTTCTTTATATATGAATACAAATAAATACATGCAAAGAACTGAACCAATATTAAAAATCTTCATTTCAGAAACCGCTATGGGTGTATCAAAGAAGACTCA